TTTCAGAACCAGTGGTACACTCGTCTTTCATCAACAGTCGCGACTGCACTGACCCGGTACTTCACTGTCAATCCCACGACAACACTAGAATCCAGTGGCACTACTGTAGGAGCCCAAACAATTGAATTTGAACAGAAGGAGGTACAGTCCTATTTTTCATTTCTCCATATTAGCATCTTCATAGACTTGAACTTAGTCGCAAAACTTTCAGCTGCATCAACCTACTTCTCCTACCCAAACAGCCGCTCCTACTGACTCGTCCTCCATCTTTACTGATCCCCCTTCCGAAATAGCAAAGATAGTGAGTTCGAGGTGCTTTGCAGACCTGATTTTGAAAACTCTGCTGGCTGTTTTAATAGTAGAAATATCAGAATCGCTGGTACTTCACTGACATCACTAAGACATCTCCAGAATTCAGTGGCACTACTACAGACAATGTCCAATCGGTTGAATTTGAAGGGAAGGTAAAGCCCTACATTTTACTATCCCACGCTAGCATTTTCATATAAATAAATTCAATGGCATCAATTTCAGCTGCACCAGTCTACTTCTCCATCTCGAACAGACCCTTCTATTAACTTTTCCTCCAGCTCTAGTGTTCTCCCATCTGAGATAACGAAAACGGTAAGCCTGAAGAGCGAGGTGGTTTAACGGACTTGGACTCTCAGCTCTTTGAAAAAGCCATTGATTTAGATTCAGCCTGAGCCTCGTCCACAGGCATCACATCTTGAGCCCAAAGACTTCTCAGCCGATCAAGCTAATTCCACCGGAAGCTCTCTAAACCAAAAGGTTGTCTGTTCGAACCACAATCACTTCTTTGCGTTTGTCTGTTCAAGCGATGGACCAAATGAGTAATTTTCCAGGAACACTCTTCTTTTGAATTAAAACTTTCCACAGCAACCACCTCAAATACCACTCATGCTCCAAGTAGTAGTTCCACTTGGATTCTTCTCGTCGGAACAGCTGCCGTGTTCGTGGGACCAGAAACGTACACCACGGAGACTTCTGAAGTGACTACTGGAAACGATTTCACGAAAACATAAAAATTCGTATCAGTCTTGGTCCACCACCTGATGTTTATGTATGGTAATGATGTAAGCGGGATAGCAAATTGCGAATTTCATTCTTAGGGGTTATAGCCCACACGGGTGACAAGGAACAGACATGTCATGGAACCGGTTCATAAAAATGTAACTGTCCATAAAAGTTCACCATTTTTTGGAGTCACTTGTTGCTGCTCGATGTTACTCAAACTTACAGAACAAACAGATAGCAAAAACAGCTCAATGCACATGATCAATCGGAGGCAGAGACAGTCTCCATAAACCGGTTCTACAATGAACCACTACCTTTCCCTTCTCAGCTGCCTGTTGGATTTATTCGAAGACTTGTTCATATTTATCATAAATAAAGTTCATGTTAAGCCTGTACCTGAAACCTTATGACCCAGTCTTCATCCTGATAAGGTCGTGAAGAAGCTAGTTCTGTAAAGTTACGATAGATATTAACCAGTAGCGTTGTTCAGTGTTTTCTACAATGGGCTTTCATTCGGAACTACATATGGATTGAAATCTCACGTTTTCCAGAAATGGATTGGGGAATAATGGATCCTTTTGAAGGAAGTATTTCGAAAATGTTTGGGGCTGGCCCAGTGGTTCGAGCTTCAAACTTATCGACCCTGTTTGGCCATTGAAATTGCTGTATACACCTTTATAAACAGTTCAGGATGTTAATTTAAGACTATGAAGTAAACATGAGCTCGTTAATTTTACATTGTCTGATGGAATCCTCATTTTTCTAATGTTTCTCAATAAAGCAGAATGGGAATCAGTGCCTACCATTTCCTATAGACAAGCAGAAAAAAAACAAAAAAGGAGATCGCTCCGAAGTTTCCACGCTCCAATATACAGTCGTCTGCAAGTTTTGCAAAGAGTCGAGTGCAGGGCTTGTCACAACTATTTACAATCAAGTTCTTTGCAATTCACCCTAATATTTGAATGAAAATATTTTCTGTATTGATCCATAAATATAAATGAAGAACGCCCTTTTTTCGAAAACCTGTTTTCAACAGCGTCGCCTGACATTTGCCTATGAGATCGATCCTTTTTTCACTTCATCTCCCGAGCGTCAACTTCACTCTCTCAACTCCGGACTCCAGACTTCAAAGACTGATTCATCATTTTTTGTTTTTTTTCTCATCGAATTCAAAGCAAAAATTATATACACATTGACGGACCTGGTTCAAAGCAACATTGAAAAAACCCAGGCAGAAATTAATTGTGAAAGAAGTAGAGGCTTCGATTTCTTGATGTGCTTTTGATTAGGTCCGTTTTCGAGAAAGGGTCTTTGAATTTGAATCCTGACTGAGAGACTTCACCCACTGAAAGAATTTCCCATCAGCGAACCTACACCATCATGTGTCACCTAAGCGAAAAGTTGCCGATGAATGCGGCAGAGTGAGACCAATATCGATGGTTGACGACGGCAATTCTATTGTCAAAATGACAGGATGAAAACGGTGTAACAGGGGTGGGCACGCCCTGGAAGCCATAAAATGCATCTTATTTCTTCGCCCAGTCGTAACTCATCTATTACAGGGTACTTCCTTCTTGTCACCATTTGTTCTTTCTTTCATCGTGCTTTTTCAATGTTCATGTTCACCGTTCCGGCTGTCTACTCTTACTTTTTCAGCAGACAGAGATTCTTCTCGCAGACTTCCTACGAAAATTTGAGTGACAGGCAAGTTTTTCAGAGGCAACTCCTTGCCAACAGATAAGATTTGAAGAGATGTCAACTTATTTCAGATAGTTAAATGCCTACAAACGATGCTAGCGGCAAAGCAAAAAAGCTTGGGCAGGCTGCCAAGAAAAAGATGAACGAGGCAGGGAAAGCTCTCAAAAAAACAACAAACAAAGTCGGCAGTAAAGTGAGTCAATAAGCTCTGATCAGGGTACCGTATATGGCTGATTTCCTTTCTTTATAGATAAAACACACCTTTAACAAACTAAAGAAGATGGGGCGACGTGTAAGTTTCCCAAAAGATTCTTTTTAGCCAACATTATCGTTCTATATGTAACTTTTCCAGAGCAGAAGACGCCATTCAAATGAGGTTAATCGTAAGGCTCATGAAATTGCAAACACTACCAAGAAGGCGTTGGACGATACCGGGAAAGCCATCACGCACGCCGTCGAAAAAGTCGGTAACAAGGCCTAGTTTGAGACGGAGGAACCAGGGTTCAAGCAAAGTTGAAGTGGAACAGAAGAACAGATAACATCAGAAGCAGTGCAACTTTTTATCTGGTTATTGCAACGTTCACAAATCCAACTTCTTTTGGCAATTGCCAATAATAAACAGTAACCAGTTGTCGATTTTTCGAACAAGATTCGTTCAAATATTATAAATACATCAACATGTATAGCCTATACTAACAGGCAGGTGAAGTGTAGGAGAAAAGGCGTATGTGAAAAAAGGGAATCGTGGTGGGGAGAGGCCAACCGATTGCATTCAGAACATTTGCCAAGCAAATCGAACATCTGGTTTTCAAACTAAGTTGCTGTACAGGCATAGTTTCTAAAGTGTTAAGATGAGTTCTACCTATCCACAAAATGTATCACCCACATTGTTTCAATATTAGAAAGAACTGGAAAAGGCCCTCAAGAGCTGATCATCTTCCCTCAAGTTTCGCATTCATTATATCTATCATAGAGGGCAGTTTGAAATGAATACAACTGATACTGTCCACAGCAACTGGCAGACTTGGTCTGAACAGCTTTCATGACATTCATCGGGCGGGATTGATTGAAGTCTAAATGCTTTACACTTAATAATTCTGAGAAGGACGGCTGAAGTACGGTCCTGAAGATCGCACTGTTTAGTAAATGCCGTAGTTGTGGAATACAGCTATTTATTTCTTGTACATATAGGTCATAAGGCACAGTACAGTTGTCCTTATACTACAACTGTGGTAGCCCTTTGAAGAATCTCAAGTGGTTTCTGAAGGACTAGACAACATCCTGAATGGGGTCCCAGTTGCGTTGCAAGCTGTTCGCTCAAAAATAGGAAAAGATTTTGTAAAGTAAAAGTGTATACCTTTTTATATACCGTCATGTTTCTGTTTCTTTTCCTGAATACGCAGGAGATTTTTCCCGGCTAGGCCGTCTCGTTCGTATGCTGATCAGGGGTACTCCGCCAAGGACCAAAAAATTGCTTGTACATACCTCGTTCGGAGCTTGAGGGAACCAATGATTACCGGAACTGCAACAGATATATCAGTGACATTTTGACGCAAAAACCAGTAGTCGTTTCATACAGAAAATAAAAGTGTATGAACGGTATGGCGACTTCTTTGTTTAGATATAAGTAAATCTGATCTATCATCGAGAATCGAGAAATGCCATAGTACTCATCCCTCCACTTTCATTTCCACTGGAAGGGTGGTTCATTCTGTACCTCGTCGACTGAGATTAAGGTGAGCTAGCTTTATCAGATTGGTACAGTGGAGTGGCCTACTAGACAGTATGGAAGGATTCCCTTTAGAGTGATCTTCACGTTTCACTCCTCGGAACCTAAGCAAGTGAAGTCGTATAGTTTCGGCTTAAAACGGTTGTGGAGCTTTCTCGAACTGGAACTTTCGCTGATCTTGCGCTTCCCTCTTTCGGCTTTTCGAAAGAGCTGTGAAAAGCTTTCATGCAAAATATGCGACCCACTGCCCTTCTCGTTAGGCTCTTGTGACATCAGTGAATACGTATGCTGCGTTTGGGAAAGCGAAATGAATAGTAGTGAGTAGAAGGGCTCCTCGGTGTTGATGTTTATGTGCCGCGCAAAGTTTCCGTTATTCTGCCTCACACTTTAGTGTCCCACGAAGCAAAACCTCCCAGCTCATCGGTTTTTGATTACGATTTGAAGGCAGAGACTGTCATGCGAAAGCGTTCCATTCAACAAGCTATTTTGGCCGTGCAAATAAAGAGAATCGTCTTAGAAAGTGTTTTCAGCGTTTGGGCCGAGAAAGCACTTCTACCCGGAATCATTTCAATCGCTCACGGAAGGATCAGGTGCCTGACAAAGTTTTTCGAATTTGAAAAGGCCTTGTAATGTGTATGGGAAAGATTATATTATGCCAAAAGTCACAGTTCACGATGAAAATGGCTTGTGAGATACTCCCTAGTATAAAGCTGTGACCTTCGAATATAGTCCAAAGGACGCTGTCGGGTCGAGAAACCGCATAGGCAGGGCTTAATAAGGGCACTAAAACCGATCAGCCGACGTACACACCCAAGAGCGAAGTTTTCACGGAAACACACTTTGCACATCAGGCAGCTCACTCCGGCCATCTGTAAGCAATGGAGCACTCATTTAGATAGCTCGACCAAATATCCTTCCTATGCAACTTTGTCCTCACATTCTTATCCAATACCTTATTTTTCTACTTTTTCAAGTCGTTTCTTGCTCTAAATAAGCCGATTTTTGCGCTTTCTTCGCCTTTTTGCACCATTCCCAGAATCATTATCACTTCCACATATTGGTCAGTTTGAGACCCTAAAATTATCGTGAACTATACCTTTCGAAGATGGAAGGACATGACCATAATTCTGAGATGGGAAATTTGTAGGTTGGTGAGCTCAAAAATCAGCTGTCAAACTCATGGAAGACGATGAGAAAAATTCGAACAATTGTCCAGGCTGCTTCAACACTTTGATGGAGATGGTATGTATCAAGATAAGCACATTTTTTGAGCCAGAAGATTCTTTTGTCGTAATGCTTTGAAGGCTGGGGAATTCAAAGAAAAGGTAGCCAGCGAAGAGAACAAGAAAGTTGCCAAGGAAAAATGGAACGAAGCCAAGGTGGGGATCAGTCAAGCTGTAAAAAAAGCCAGCGATAAGGTCAGGTCATCTGGGGAAACCAAGTCAAAATAATGCCTGATTAGTGTTAAATAATGCATCTGAAGGCTGATGAACTTGCGGATAATCTCAGTGACGAAGAGTGTGTTGAAAATACGAAAGAAAAGGTGTGTAATACCTGTAAAAAAGTTAGGGATAAAGCCAGAACGACAGGAGCTAAGGTAAGCCATGCTCCAAAAAGTTTGTCTTAGAAGTTTTCCGTCTGTGAATCGTGAGAGTTTTTCAGATGAAAGAAAAATGCCCTAGCAAAGAGAAGCGGGAAGCGGCTAAGGAGAAGTTGAACGTAGCCAGGAAAGGAGCCAGAGATACAGCTAGAAAGGCCAGCGCTAAAGTCAGATCACCTTAGAGATCTTAGGAGTCATAATAGTGCCTAAGTCCTGACTTTGAAGGCTAATCAGATTGCGGATAAGCTCAGTGATGAAGAGTGTATAGATACGGCAAAGGAAAAGTTGTGTAGTGCCGGTGAAAAAGTCAAGGACACTGCAAAAACGACTGGAGCAAAGGTAAGCCGGCTCCAGTTATTTCCCCTTCCCCTAGAACATTCTACTTTGAGATTCTTGAAGCCTTTCCAGATCAAAGAAACAGTCACCAACAAAGAGAATCAGGATGCAGTTAAGGAAAAGTTGAACGAAGCCAGGATGGGAATTATTGACATAGCAAGATTGGCCAGCGCTAAAGTCAGTTCATTGAAAAGTTCTAAAATCTCTTCGGCAAACTCTGGATAGTTAATTTTATTTAGAGCGACTTAAAACAACCTTATGACGAGCTCGAAAATAATAATATTCAGACAAAAGACGAGACCTCGTAGGTTGCAGGGCGAGGGTTGGGGACGCTCTGCAGTAGCTGCCTATAGAGCATCCCTTAGCAAGTGGGGTGTTGTAGTGTCACAAGGAGCACTTTACCCACGTATGGTTAAGGGATCGGAGCCCAAACCGCTACCAACTCAGACCCAGAGGCCCTTTCTCTTTCGGGGTCGGGTAATAGGTAAAAGATTTGTCCAAGAAGATTTATGCAATGGCCTTTGCAAGCCACTGCGTAATGCTCATGCAGCCAAAACTTCTGCATGGTAGGTTCTGGTCTTCTTTAGAGCGATTCGGAATGCTAGGTTGCTACTTTTCTTGACCAGATGTTTTAAAGGCCAGAGAATTCGCGGATGGACTCAATGAAGACAACTGTGGAGAAACTGCCGATGAGAAGTCGAGCAACACCGCTACAGAGGTCAGGGATGCTGCAGGAAAGGATGGGACTGGGGTAATTTTGTTACAACATTTCTGTTGAAAAGGCAATCTTACTTGTATTCGCTACTTTCAAAGGCTACCGAGAATAAAGAGAAGACCAGCAACGATAAGCGTGATGCGGTTAAGGAAAAATTGCGAAGTCAAGAGGGGGATCAAAGGCAAAAAGAAAAGGGCCAGTGACAAGGATAGACCATCGCACGGCCTTAATCCATAATTGCGTTTGATTAGAAGCTTCAAAACATTTACGGCCACCTGTCCAGGTGAAAAGGATTTGACAACTTTGCCTTTTCCCTTTATACATCGCTTTTAAGCTATACATTCTACCACTGTTATGTAAATAATGTGATGAAAATACCTTCAATGTTTTCATGAATTGTGACGATTCAACGCTAATAAATATAGGAAATGTTAGTAATTCGGAGTTTCCTGTAGCTCGAGAGCTACCGTATCGTAGGGCCCAAAATCATGCTTCTCAAGTGAGGTTTTTAAGCGTTGAAGGCGGATTTATTGCACACTTACTCTCTCGAAACTCGACCTGAAGTAAGCCATGACTAGCGCATATCAGATGTGAGAGGGATAGCAAGCTGTAGCATCGACGGTCGCTAACAGGACGCACAGTTATCTTCCCAATTAAACAGGGCTTTCATTGCGCTCCCTGCTTCTTCATGAGCTACCTTTTCTGCTCTCTCTTCATATTTTTCGTTACCGTCCTGACCATTCTGATTTTCGGTCCGCGGTTCAAATCCCGGATGTATGCATTCCCAACCTAGCCTATCATTCCTCTTGGTACCAACCTTGTCCGGAAGATAAAAGCTTTGACCTCCACATGACACTGCATGTCATTGTATTTGTAAACCACATACGTATTCTAACTCTGCGAGGCGCATCCCAGGACCGGGACTAATCAACACCAAATTTTTCACTTTATTTGTACCCTATCAGCTTCTTTTGTCGAATGTTCTCAGGCAAGTGGAACTTTATTGAATCGATTCAACGTTGTACTCAGTAACAGCTGCTTTAAAGAATCTGTACATATAAACATGGCAAAGTTTCACCGCTGGTTGTTTAGTAGCTCTTGGTGACATCACATTATTCGTTCCACTTCTGCTTTGCCTTATCCTTTAGCTCTTCTGCCTCAATAAACAAGAAATAGTTAGCTATGAGGGAAATTCAGATTGACATGCTGATTACCTTGTCTCCGACTTTTTCAGCGGCGTTTTTGACAGCTCTGCCAGCATCGTGCATTTTTTCCTTTGCAGCATGTCCAAGCTCTTGAGCTTTGTTGCTGGCGTCGTTGGCATGACATCTTCCGCTCTGAATTTAATGCGCTTGGACACCCTGTGAATGATCAGTAGCTTTCAAATGAAACCTTACATGACAGTCCATTTTTGTAGCGTTGTTTTTGTAGTGTAGGAGTTTAGTCTGCAAAGGAGGAAATCAGATCAATAAGGATCAATAGTGTGCAAAATCATATAGAGCCTAAGGAAGATATAGAGGACACTACAAGGAAGAGGTAGGGTAGTTAAGCAGAGGAACTTGGGAAAGGGCTCATGGCTAAAGACATGGGCAGAATTCAGTATACCTCTTCAAGAAAAGCGGGGCTTACATGGTTGTTTGAGATGAAAAGTTCCCATTTATACTGTTTAGGGATGTTTACGTCAACTAAGCGACCAGAGATCTGCGACATTGATCATTAATCACTTTTCGGTTTCCTCGAAGCTGTTTTTAGGGAGCTAGGGATGTTTACGGTAATGCCTCTATTGGAGTAGATGAATTCTAGAGGTGATATATCAGACCTGACGTAGAGTACTGTAGTGTACTGTAATACAATTCCCTGTTTCCAAGATTCCTTATCCCTTCATTTCCTTTAATATACATATCTCCGACAGGACTAGCCTGTGCTCAAGTTTCTCTAGAAATGGGTTCGTAGTCAGTTTTAAATCATGGGTATTAGGGTCTCCGCAAAAAAAAAAAAAAACACTACAATGGCAGTCTTGACGAAATATCCGGGAATTTCCATGTTTGAAGATAAGTCCAAGGCTCTAAATCGCCTTGAGAAAAGCCATGGGATGAAGTATAATAAATATTAGGAAAACATGGTGGAGAGGAATAAACTTATTGATAGATCCCCGCACAGAGTTCACAATACTTTCCAGATTGAGCGGCGCACAATCCTACGTACATAAAAGTACTTTCCTTCCTGGTTGACAGAATCGGCTTTAGTGAGCGACGTCGTATCAGCCTTCTCGAAGTAATAGCAGGTTTAGAATCTTCAATTAGTAGGATCATACTAAAGAATTTTTATGTAGAGATGGAAACACTCATCCTTTACCTCAGTAATTAGCAAAAGCATGTGAAGACTGCAGAAAAAAATTTAAAAAGCTGAAAAAAAAAAGAAAAAAAATGAAAAGCTGTCTGCATTTCATTGACATTGAGAACTAAGTCAAAAATGCAGAGTGCAGCTGAAGATACGGAAGATCCAAAGTAATTGTTGGTGTTCAAAAATTTCCTCAATTCGGAGGTATTTAATTCTCAAGTCAGAAGAAAAAGGGGAAGGGAGCAAACTTTTCTGAGACGTCTTCGTCTTAACTCAACAAGTCTGCTGGAATTTGGTCTAAAATCCATAGGTCTCAGAAGAACGCATAGTATTTTTCACATTTGGGAGTGTTGTCCACAAGGAAAACTTCCTATCACTTAAAGTTAACGTCAAAACTTCGAATATTTCCCACCGGATGTTTTCGTTCTGAAAATGGAAAATCTATTTATAGCCTTTTCAAACGATTCACATGGTTTGGCCTTGAGTCAGTTGCACAGAGTTGAATCTGAGCCACCGGCCGCGCGAGTGGTCACTGATGCCTTCGGTTTTGAAACTCTGACAAACAAACAAAAACCTTGGTCATTCGTTTTTGATTCATTAGAAACCTATGCATGATCAATGACGAAGACAGAAACACTGGAAACGGTAACCGATTGGTCGTAACGTTAGCCATCACTGGTAAAGGCACACTTCACGAATATTTTGGGGTACCTAATTTTGGACGAAAAGTTGAAGGGGTGATCCAAAATAATGCAAAATGCAAAGACCATCAGATTCGAAGAATAGGCTTTCGATTTGAAGAAGAACTTGATTGAACGAGAATACCACGACAAAAGTTGCATAAAGTGTCTGTCTAAAATAGTGAGCTAATGCGTACAGCATGCTACAGGTACTGTATACGTGCGAAGTGTGCGTCCCGATGTGAATTGTGCGACCACTTCAGCCTCTACAACACGGGAAAACTCGTCCGCTTTTTGGCGTGTACGTCTGCTGAGTCGGCTCTGCAGCGTTTATTGCGCCCTATCTCCGCCATTTTTCGACCGAACACCGTCGCTTTGCAATCTTCGGGAATGAAAGGTTCATCTCGGAGGGATATCAAGAACTGTTTTGAACTGTGAGCATAAAAAATTAATGGGAGTTTGACTATCAAGTTCGCTTGGATTAGCATGAAGAACTAGAGTCCCAAATAACGATTTGATAAGGAGCTAGAGACGCAGCATTCTAGCTCTGTAAGCCTTTGAAACCTGGATTGATGTAGTGCTCCCATCAGAACTCGGGCGGATTCAGCAGTGCTCGATGCATTGGTCAAAGCATCGAGCACTTCCATCCAGCACTTCTGTTACGCAGGAATGAACACCATATTCTCGGGAACACATAAAACAACTTCGATGGCGAGCTTTTCTTTTCTTTTCAGCTTTTTAATTTTTTGAAAGGATATTCGTTTCCTTCTCTTCATAAAGAAAAACAAGGAATTTTTCAGTCTGATCCTACTAATTTCTAAGTCGGCTGTTACTGCGAATTCAGAATAAGATTGATTTTCTTGATATTTCAGAATGACGTCTGAATAGGAGACTGTTGTCACCCTGCTTACTGTTGATGTCCCGAAGGTCCGGTGTCTTCTCCCCGAAAACGGCGTCGCGTTAGCCGCACCCGATAAGGAGGCCAACCAGAGACAAGGTCTTGGATTTTGCCTTACCATAGCACTCACTGGGCCTGAAGTACAAATTTTCTATATATATTTATTAATGTTGAATTCAGCCTGATGTACACATTTTCTATATATATTTATTAATGTTGAATTCATAGAATTCAATAAACATCATAAATATGTACATTCGTAAACATAGTTACGTACATTACAATATTTACATTACAACCTGACTTATATCGTTTGATACCGGTTCGAAAAATGTACACACGACGAGGTGTTCAAATCGTGTTCACCCGTTTAGGTAAGCTTTCGTTTGATGTTTTCGCCTTCTTCGCTCAACGTTTGTATCGACTCATCCTTGAGCATTCCAGCCTTCAAAACTCATGATTGTGAGCAAGTGGCGGAAATCGGAACGTTCGCAACTTACCTTGATGCCAACTGACTCTACGGCTTCTCTGATAACCCTTCCGGCATCACCTATCTTCTCACCCAGTACACCGAGGGGACCACTTGAGATGTCCTCCTCCCATTCCTCTGCCTGAAGAGACCATAGTTTACAACTAGAGCATACAAATAATGTTAATTTATCAAACATACGGTATCAACTCCTTTTCCTGCAGCTTCTCTGATAGCCCTTGCACTATCAGTCAATCTTTCCCTGATCATGTGAACGCTCTCGTCGTCAACTGCATCTTCTACGAATTCTCCAGCCTGGAATGCACTCAGATCAGAAGTCATACAGTTATTACTTCAGTAAAGACCCCTCACCTCATTTTGTATTTTTTCTGCGGTGTCCTTGATGCCTCTTCCAGCTTCGTTCATTTTATCTCTGACAGTTTCCACCTTTTCATTATTTCTGATTGCTTCCAGNAAGGGACCATAATATACAATTAGAGCATACAAATAACGTTAATTTTTTAAACATACGGTATCAACTCCTTTTCCTGCAGCTTCTCTGATAGCCCTTGCACTATCAGTCAATCTTTCCCTGATCATGTGAACGCTCTCGTCGTCAGCTGCTTCTTCCACGAATTCTCCAGCCTGGAAAGTACTCAGATCAGAAGTCATACAGTTATTTCATCAGTAAGGTCCTCTCACCTCATTTTGTATTTTCTCTGCGGTGTCCTTAATACCTCTTCCAGCTTCGTTCATTTTATCTCTGACAGTTTCCACCTTTTCATTATTTCTGATTGCTTCCAGAATCTCTTCCGACTTCACAGAAAAAGAATTTATAAGTCCTTCCTTCATGAGCATGAACTTCATCTACCTCACCTTTTCCCTGGCATTTTCTTCGGAGTCCCTCAGACCACTTTTCGCATCATCCATCATCTCTTGAGCCATGGCTCCATAGTCAGTGCCAGTAATTCTGTCTTTCACTTGATTCATCTGAAGAGATGATTCGAAGTTACACTTCAGTAATGGCACACCTCCTACCCACCTTATCTTTAGCTTTTCCAGCAGTATTCTTGACAGTTTCTCCTGCATCGTTAAACATTTCCCTGGCACCTTCAACGTTCTCATGGTTTATGGCGTTCCGAATGAACTCCTCAGCCTTCAAAATGGGATCATCAGAGCACTCGAATGAGTCTGAGTGGAGGCCTACCTCTTCTTTGGCTCCACCGGCAGCGCTCTTGAACGTATCTCCCACCTCTTCCAATCTTTCTTCAGCGTCATTACTTACTTTATCCTTGATCTTTCCGACCTTCAACGATTACAGATAGGAAGAGCTTATGTGGAGAGCTGATTGGATGTGCTCACCTTGTCTCTAGCTTGTCCTGCAAAATCCCTGGCTTGGTTACCAGCACTGTTCAACTTTTCTCTGGCAGCGTCCACATATTCGTTATCACTCAGGTCTTCCGCGAACTGCTCTGCCTTCAAAATTAGTAATCGAGTAGTGTCATAAGGTGATTTCTGTGACTATCCTACCTTCCTCTTAGCCCTTCGTGGCATATCTTTCACTCCCTCCGCGGCTTCGTTGAACTTCTCTCCAATCTTCAACAATTATGAGTGAATGGGTGGGGACCCTTCGTGGAGAAGTGACTGAATGTGCTCACCTTCCCTCGAGCTTGTCCTGCTGCATCCGTGACTTTACTACCGGCATTGCTTAACTTTTCTCTGGCGTCTTCTGCGAACTCTTCTGCCTTAAAAACCATCAATCAAGTATTATCACAGGAGTTATCAGAGTTATCATGAAAGTAATGACTATTAATATCCTACCTGATTCCAAGCCTTCCGTGGCATATCTTTCGCTCCCTCCGCGGCTTCGTTAAACTTTTCGCCGACCTTCAACAATGATAGATGAGAAGACCCAAGACCCTCCGTGGAGAACTGATTGTGTCTTACCTTCTCACGAGCTTGTCCAGCGAAATCCCTGGCTTGGTTACCAGCGCTGTTCAACTTTTCCCTAGCAGTGTCAACATATTCGTTGTCGCTAAGGTCTTCCGCGAGCTCGCCTGCCTTACTCCTGGCCTTTCGTGGTAAATCTTTCACTCCTTCTGCGGCTTCGTTAAACTTCTCTCCAACCTACAACAATCAGATGAGAAGATCCTTTGTAGGGAACTGATAGATGCGCTCACTTTGCTTTTAGCTTGTCCTGCGACATCCGCGACTTTACTACCGGCACTGCTTATCGTTTCTCTTGCGTCTTCCGCAAGCTCTTCCGCCTGAAAGTTATCAATCGAGTAGTGACATAGAGGTAATTTCTATGACTTTCCTACCTCTCTCTTAACCCTCCGAGGTATATCTTTCACTCCCTCTGCGGCTTCGTTCAACTTCTCTCCAACCTTCAACAACTACAGATAAGAAGACCCTCCGTGGAGAACTGAGTGTGTGTACTCACCTTGTCTGTGGCTTGTCCTGCGACTTCTTTGACTTTACTACCGGCACTGCTTATCTTTTCTCTGGCGCCTTCCGCAAACTCTTCCGTCTTAAAAGCTATTCATCAAGGTTTATCATAAAGGTAAACCAGGATATCCCACCTTACTCCAAGCCTTTCGTGGTATATCTTTCACTCCTTCCGCGGCATCGTTAAGCTTCTCCCCGACCTTCAAC